GGGTCGCATCTTCTACGGCCCAGTGATCAACCAGCGAAAGGGCATCCTCTCTGCGGTGTACCTCTCTGACCACGTCATCAGCAGCTGGCATCACTACATACTCTTTGAAGACTGGACTGCCGTCACTTCGAGACTGGTCAATGCACCCACACCCAAACAGCCGTCCTCATCGCCTCGAACGCCGTCCTTCTTTACAGCCAAATTCGTTCTGGATGATGAGTACAAAGATCGGCCGCTTGACTCCTTTCTCAAGGTGTCAGGCGGCTGGACCAAGGGAGTAGCCTTCCTCAATGGCCACAACCTTGGTCGGTACTGGCCAGTGGCCGGACCACAGCTCACCCTCTACGCGCCTGCAGTCTTCTTCAAACCGTACCCGGAGGAGAATGAAATTGTGCTCTTTGAGCATGAGAAAAATCCCTGCCAATCTTCTCCATCAGCCAATGCCAGCAAGTGCAGTGTTCAGTTCGTCGAAAAGCATATCATCAACGCAGCTGTGCCTTCGCCGGTGGGTAGTCGAAAGCCGCCCAGTTTTGTACAGAAGGAGACGTAACGCCCATTTTGAATATTTTTGTAGCATTTTAAAAATTAAACTATCGTTCGTATTGAGCATGTTAGCAGCTAACATTTTGTCCTACGCCATAAAGACAATGAGAACAGTGAACAATCGTCATGACGATCCCCAACTAATGACCGCAAGGCATGCAGAGCATGTACTGCTTTACTGATAATATGAGATTGATGATCACTTGATCAACTGTGATTGTGCCTACCACCACTCATCCTCCTTATCACTGGTTTGTTTTTTGAATGCCTGCCGTTTGTGCCAAAATTTGGTCGGTGCCGCTAAATGCGCTTCCATTGTGATCGAAACTGCCGATTGAACAGCAACACCAACTGACAAAGGATTTGTTTGCTTTTCTCCCAATGTCAACAACACTGCGCACTGCCTGGCTGCCTGCGGCTGTGGCCCTTCTTCTCGTGACCTTAGGCCTTTCCAATGTCACTGCCAAACGGAGCTTCACAGTGGACTACGAGAATGACCAGTTTCTCAAGGATGGTAAACCGTTTCGATATGTCGCCGGCGCAGTCCACTACTACAATATTCCCACTGAACTGTGGAGAGATCGACTGCAGAAGGTCAAGTTTGGCGGGCTAAATGCAGTTCAAACGTAAGTACTTTGGTAATCATTTTGTCATGTTTTACCAAAAGATGTTGCTCTTTTCCCTAGGTACATCGAATGGAGCCTGATTGAGCCCAAACCTGGCGTATATGACTTTAGCGGCAACAACAACATTACCCACTACATTCAGATTGCCCAGGAAGAGGGCCTTCTGGTGATTCTCCGTCCAGCTCCATTCATCGATTCAGGTAATTTTTCGGCTAACTTTGGCTGACAAATAAAGTTTCATTGACTATAATTTCAGAGCGAGACATGGGAGGTCTGCCGCCATGGCTGCTGAAGGTGAATCCGCAGATGAAGCTGCGAGCCTTCGACCCCACGTACATTGCCGCCGTTGACCGGTACTACAAGGCACTGCTGCCCGTTCTCCGACCACTGCTCTACGTGAACGGCGGCCCGGTGATCATGGTGCAGCTGGAGAATGAGTACGGCAGCTTCAAGCCACAGTGCACCGACAATGGCCAGTACAAGGCCTATCTGAGGGAGACGTTCCGCAAAGCCCTCGGTCNCTACAAGGCACTGCTGCCCGTTCTCCGACCACTGCTCTACGTGAACGGCGGTCCGGTGGTCATGGTGCAGCTGGAGAATGAGTACGGCAGCTTCAAGCCACAGTGCACCGACAATGGCCAGTACAAGGCCTATCTGAGGGAGACGTTCCGCAAAGCCCTCGGTCCTGATGTTCTGCTCTACACCACCGACGGCTGCAGTGACTACTTTTTGCAGTGTGGACCCATTCCCGAGGTCTTTGCCACCTGTGACTTTGGCGTCGGAGAAATTGAGAAGGCTGAAGCTAATGTGAAGGAGGCTTTTGCCTCCCTACGACGACACCAACTTCACGGACCGCTCGTCAATTCAGAGTACTACGTGGGCTGGTTCGATGTGTGGGAGCAGGCACACCAAACGGTGCCGATTGCAAATGCAACCAAAACACTCGATGTGATTTTATCGATGAATGCCTCGGTGACCCTGTAAGAATTATCTCCAGTTTTCACCAGTTCATCATCTCTAACATACATTCTCCACAGATACATGTACCACGGTGGAACCCATTTCGGGTTTATGGCAGGCTCAAACGATTTTGGAACCTACGTGCCCGTTACCACCAGCTACGACTTTGACGCACCAATCAACGAAGCAGGCGACTTGACTCCAAAGTTCTTTGCACTCAAAGATGTCATCAAAAAGGTGAGTCTTCTTTTTTCAAAGTAGACTTCAATAATGAACTGTTCGTTCACTTCAATATTTGTAGTACTTGCCAGTGTCTGATACAAAGACTTTTGTCAGCATTAGCAGCAAGATGGAGTTGCCACCAACGGTTATGGAGGTGAAAGCAACCATTTTCGACGTCCTTCCCGAGCCAATCCCCTCCGACTGGCCACAGTCATTCGAAGCCCTAAACCACAGTTACGGTTTCATGCTGTACTCCACCAATTTGACCTTCCAACCGACGGACCCTGCTAATCTGTCCATTCCGCAGCTGCACGATCGAGCACAGGTTTTTATTGACCGAGAGAACGCGGGCATGCTCAGCCTGACAGAGCACAGTCTGAACGTTCCCGTTCTGGCGAGAAAAAACTCCAAAGTGGACATTTTAGTGGAAAATCAGGGTCGCCTGAGCTACGCTCAGAAGATCAACCAAGGAAAAGTAAGCACACTTGGGCAACAAACTAGCCAACAAGTTTAACCTCATCCTTTCAGGGCATCCTCGGCAACGTCTCCATCAACAGCTACCCACTGGCCAAGTGGAAGCAGTACAGACTGTTCGACAATTGGACTTCTGTTCTCAGGAAACTGCCCTCACTGAGTGCAAGCAAACACTCTACCTCCCGCACTCCTTCCTTCTACTACGGCCAGTTTGTCCTCCCTGACAAGGCCAACTACCCACTGGACTCCTTTCTGCAGGTGAGCGGATGGACGAAGGGCGTCGCCTTCCTCAACGAGCACAACCTCGGTCGGTACTGGCCACTGGTGGGCCCTCAGCAGACATTGTACGCGCCCAGTGTCTTCTTCCGACCGTACCCGCAGACAAACACCATTGTTCTGTTTGAGCTGGAGCAGAGTCCCTGTCACGGAGAGGCGGGCAAGTGCAGCATTCAGTTTGTCGGCAGTGCAGTCATCAACGGCACTGTGCCGCTGCACAAGGATAAACTCAAATAGTGAAATCAACAAAACAACGGTGTTTAATAACGAGATAACAAGGAGTAATTTGGGGTAAAATAAAAAAACAATGGTCAAATAAAACAATCTACAGTAATAACGAGTTCAACAAAAGAGGACTAGACTTCTTAATGACAAATCAGAAGGATCACTTTAGTTAGGATGAGGATGATGATAAGTAGAAAAGCTCAAATGGATACAAAAATGGAAAAGTTAACAGTTAGGGGTTCAGTCACAGTGGTGGCGGCTAAATTCGGGCGATAAACTTGGAAAGGTGAGGCGGCCAATCAGCGGTTGAGCCGCTTGAAGTAGTCGAGCGAGTGCTTTTAGTGTCAATCGATGCGTATAGGCGGGCGAAAATCTCCTCAAAGTAGTTGTGAGGGAATATCTCCTTGAGGAGAAGCTCAAAGAGAACCAGCACCAGTCGTTGGTTGAGGGTTTTAATTTGAAACAACTCAAAGAAGGATATCAGTCCATTCTGCGTCGTTTCACTGCCCACCACCTTCTTGAGACTCTCTGCGTATGCACACAACATATTTCAACAATAGTCAACACATAAAACAGGTGCACTTACCACTGAGCCGTGTGAGAATCAGAGCCTTGGCAGCAACTTTTCGTCGAAGCAGCTCTTCGTTCTTCCGAGGAGACGAATATGCCAGCTTACCATTGGGCCAGAATGACTGTCTGTTTTTGTTTGAGCAAAAATGAAAGTGAAACGGAATTCAAGCTGAAGATAAACTTACTTTAGCGACTCAATGTACTCGGCAATAGCGCTGGGCGATGTCCACAAGTCAATGTAATCGCAAATCTTCTTGTTAATCATGTCCGAGTAGGTGGCTTCGATGATTTGCTTAAAGAGATCAATCAGGCGACGTCGAAACCAAAAGTTCTGATTTTTCAAGTCAAATATTTCGTCCAACAGGGACAGCAGTGGAATGTTTTCGTCATTTTCAAAGCTGGCACTGTCTAAACTCAGCTCATCAGCACTTTCAGACTGCTGCTGCTGCTGCTGATTTTTAACCGAACTGACGGTAAAGCCAAAATTGGTCTCTTCGTGAACTGGCGAGCGATTGGCTGACCCACTGCCGCCCACTGCCGGCATGTGCTTCACATTGAGGGAATTAGACTGACTGTTGTTCATCGTCTTCTTCTCCGGCATCCTCGGCTGCGCGACATCCTGCTGAAGAGACAGCGTACGACTGAGCTTCTGAAAACCATCGAGCAGATTCTCCGAACCATTTTTCATTGCATTGCCAATGGTTTTGATTGGATTGAAGCTTCGGCCATTGCGAGAGACGGTTCGCTCCAGCCGACCAGGCTCTTTGCAGTTATAATTGCCCGGGTGGAGAAACAGGTAGATGTCATCTCGCAGGTAGTTGAAGCGTTCGTAGAGGAAGGAGAGCTTCTTCAGGTAGATGTTGAGCATGTACTTGCGGTACTCCACAAAGTTGCGATTGTTTCGGTTGCTGAGAAAGGACTTGGGCGGTAGAGAGAGAATATTCTTCAGGTTAAAGTGATACTTTTCGCACTTGTCAATCATCAGCTGGTGAAGGGTGTAAAACTCCGAGTATCGTCGCAGAATGACCCACTTCTCGCCGGTGGAGCACTTGGCGACGTTGATCAGATAGGCTACAAAGGTTTTGCCGTGGTCAGTGAGCTTCCCCGTCTCGCTGATCTCCACCGTGAAACCGCTGGCAAAGTCAGCCTTGTCACCAGTTTCTTCAGCCCGTCTGCCGTCATCGGCCTTCTCGTGGTGATCGCTTTCATCGAAACACTTCAGGCCCTTCACCCCCTCCTCCCCTACATGCGAGTCAATACTGTCAATCTCCGAGAGATCATCAACGGATTTACTTGCTGGCACATTGGAGGAGACAGCATTCGAAGCAGCAGCCTCCAACTGTCCCCTGACTAGATCAGTCTCGAGCAGCAGCTTTAGGTAATGCTTGTTGCGCTTGAAGGCGGGGAAGAACTGGTCGTGCTTAAGAATGATGCTGCGCACCTGGGCGAATATCTCATCAAAAAGGCCCTCGGTCATCCACGTGGAGGAGTCGTTGGAGCTGAGCTGGTCACGCAATTTGTCGCAGTAGCTCTGCTCAATCAGCGCCAGTCGATTGGGCGCCAGTGGCGAGAGGTAGGTCTCGTAGATGTTCATCGCCGCCTCGAGCACCAGCTGCTTCAGCTGGTGGCACTGCTCTTCAGAGGCGCCGTTGCCTAAGCTGGACAGGTAGATCTCAAAGAGACCCTGCTCGACGCTAATCTTGAAAGCCTCCACGTTGATGAAGAAGTTGATGTAGCTACAGGCATTTATGGTGGCCATGTACTCGGTGAAGTACTCCAGGGCAATGCTGTGGCGCAAAACGGCGTCAAAGGTGATCAGTGCTAGTTCCGGTGACTCAGCTTCCTGTATAAACAAAATGTTTGTACTCCGTTTTTAAAACATTAGGTTTACCACAAGTTTACCTTTGCCTCTTCTCCATTGAGAGAATCTGACAAACTTTTCGACTCTTCAAACTCCTCAAACTTTTTCAGTTGTGACAAAATAATCTTCTTCAAAAAGAGCAAACTGCCTAGTTGTTGTTTCATCTTCATCTCACCGTCGTTATCATCCTAAAAGTATGAAGTATTAGTATCAAAAGTCAAAAGTGAAACTAGGAGTGAAATTTACTTTAGATCGGACAAACTTGATTTCCGTTTCAACACTCTCCAGCACAGCTCGAATCTCGTTCACATCGTCCACTGACTGCAGAACGGCCATAAAAGTGTCAGTTGACGGTAGGTGTGATTTACACACGCCAATGATGATGCCGTTGATGAAATCAGGCTCCGATAGGAGGTCGAGAATTGGAGTGAAAATGGTTTGCGTAAGTATTCCCTGTAGAATTGTTACGAGATGGTAAGTATGAAAGTATAGGAACTGTGAACCTTACCTTGGTGAATAGTCGAAAGGTTTCATTGTTAAAGCTGTTGTATGGAAAGAGAATGTACTGCAGGACATCACAGATGTGGTCGATAAAATGTACAAGTTGGAGGTTATCACGACAAAGCCTCTCGCGATTAAAATTCTTCTCTAATTTACGTTCATTTTCAAAGAAGGTTGTGATAAATTCCTCTTCGGTGTACTCTCTCGAGGCAAGTCGGTTTCTCGTCAACCGATACAGTCGATTGTGCTTGATGAACTCATCCAAAACCTTACTAGTCAGAAGACTGGACACATCAACTTCCTTGAGACGTCGAGCAAATGCAGAGACGGTGTAGTTGACAAAGAGGTAAAGCTTATTAGGAAACTCCTGGCTTAGTGAGATGGACTGGTGCCAGGGCTGCACAAAGTCCTGGAAGGCCAGCTCTATGACTTCATTCAGCTGTGTGTCAATATTCGTATCGCTGGTAAACTTCTTATTGAACTCAAACTTGGGGACAAGGCTTATCCTCCGTTCAATATCTTCAGTCATGTGATTCCAGTAGCGATCGCGCTCAATAAAGTGAATCGGTCGATTTTCCCTAAAGACCGCATAGTCCTTTTCGATTTCGGGCAACTTTCGGTCAAGGAACAGAATGAATCTACAGTAAACAGGAATTTAATAATATAGTCAACTTTAACAAAAATCCCTTACCCAAGTATGATCGACAGCAGAACTGAAATGAAGAAGATAATGGCACTAAAAGGTATGGTGGCAATGAGGAGAACCAGCGCGGCAGAAAGGTATATTTGAGTGGTGGTGAACATTTACAGCTATGTACAGTAGGGGGTGATTGGCTGATTGCTCAAACAGTGGTCAGTTCACTGGTCAGGTGATGAGGGTCAAATGGTGGTGGTGGGGTGTGCATCGATTGAGATGAAGTTCAGGTGATGAACCAAAAGAAGAAGAGTAACAAATTTGGAAACCCACACCATTTGTTTGTACACGGTTGGGTGGAAAACCAGGTTACACAGTAAATGCAGCAAAAAGTAGTGCAAACATTCACACTCGCCATCTAACGGAAAGTCAGTGGCTGTTGTTGTTGTTGTGATCAGTCAGCTGTTTCGCCAGCTGCCGCCGAACTGCTGCAGCACAAATTCTGATTTCCACTCACTCATTCATTGTCACCATTCCATTCATCGAATCGCCCCCACCTCAGTTCCTGATGTCTCAAGTAAAGGTGCGCCACACCTTCTCTCTGGTCAAGTACTTTGTCTTCAACACTGACTGGGGCAAGAAGGAAGGGACTGAGCACGAAAAACTGATCTACTACTTTTCCAAGGGGCCGGCATCTCCTGACCAGCAGGTGAGCGACATTGGCCTGGCCGAGGCGGTGATCAACTTTGGCCAGCAGTTCGGCGACATTGCCGAGTCTCTGCACGGCAGCAAGCTGCGTTTCGTCTTCTTCGACCTCTCCCCCACCATCTGGTCAACCATCTGCATATCGGAGCCCTTTTCGGTGCACAAGTCAAATGACGACAATACGCAGTTTCACGAGTACCACGACAATGAGGTCAACAATAAGTTCTTCAAACTTAAGCTGCAGAACATCTACCGGTACTTTTGCCTCCTCAACGGACCCATTGAGAAGCTCTGCGCCGAGGTGGACCGAACAGCATTCATTGAGCGTTGCACGCAGTTCTTCGACAGTTACATTCCCCATCTCGAGTTGCTGCCCTTCAATCTGATTGAGCTCTACTCGTCCATTCAGTACCTCCCGCTGAGCAACACCACCTTCATGGCCGTGCAAAGTCTGCTCAACTGTGTCCAGGCGACGGACTCTCGCATCAAATCGTACATCTTCCTCTACAATGACCAGCTGGTGTCTAGTCTTCTGTCACTGCAGGACACGCAAACACTCTACAACTACCTGACCAATGTGATCATTCCAGAAGCCGTGAAAGAGGAGATTAATGGCATCTCTAACAAAACCCGCTGGTTGCAGAAGAACCTGAAGGTCTACTTCAGTGGCGAGCAGGAGTTTAGAAGCCTGTGCCTGTTTCGCTCCATCAACGGCTCCACGATTGGTCTGGTGCTGGACAACTACGATGAGAACATTCTCCAGGAATGTGAGGCACTCCTTTCTGGTCGACTAGTCAGTCTGACGGGCAAGCTGCACGAGACGGTGACTCAACTAGCAAAGCAGCCTGAAATGAAGATCACCGGCGAGATGGCGGTGAAGGACATCAAGTTCATCTACATCAACAACACCAACTGTGCGCAGAGGGGCAACTCCAATGGACGGAAGGTGGTGGACAGTGACTTCTCCAGGCTGATTCTCGACATGGAGGCCGACCTGGAGATGATCAACAATGAGAACCACGCCTTTGAGCTGATCGGCAAGAACACCAGTGACTCGTGGCTGGTGACGCGCAGCAGCGACCTGAGGACGCTCTTTGCCGTGCTCAACCACAAGAATGCCAATCTCATTGAGGCGACTGAAATGATTGAAGTGCTCAATAACAAACATCTAAAAAACATTTTCTTTGGAGTATAACAATCAACATATTTATCAAATTAAAATCAACTACTTTCAACAGATTGACATTAACTGAGCTCACTCAAAGGTAAACACGTATTTAGAGTTGGAGAAGCCCTTCTGAATGGTCTCAAAGACCTCTTTGTAGTCGTCCAATTTGACCTGGATCGTCTTCGGAATGATCAGCTTCTTTTCGCTATTCAGCTGACTCAGTTCACTGAGCATCTTGATTCGCTTTGGCGATGTTTGGTTCGCTTTGCTCCATCGAGTCATCCAGAAGCCCACGAAACGGTGGTCTTTGAAGATGAACGAGCCAGTGGGCAGGACGACTGGCTTTTTTGACATTCCCCCGTAGGTCACCATTGTTCCGCCATCAGCCAAGTGTCGGACACAGTCAGTGGCACATTGGCCGCCAACGCAGTTGAGGGCAAGCTTCGGCTTTCCCACTTTGCTCAAAATCTCGTCCATCACCTCCTTTTTGCGAATCTCCTCCTCAGTCAACACGTAGTCGGCACCGAGCGATTTGAGGTACTGTCGAAGCTCGTCCACGTCAGGTCGGTCTCGAATGACATTGATTGTTTTGATATTCCACAGTTTGGCAAGTTGAATGGCGTACACGCCGACGGCACTGTTGCCGCCATTCTGAATGACTGAATCACCTATAAAAGAGAGACCGTTAGATCAAGAACGAATACCTAGAGGCAAAGGTAATACCTTCTTGTAGCTTGACAAAATCCTGAAGCATACGATATGCCGTGCCCGGATTGACAGTGATTTGAGCAGCAAATAGCGGGTCCACATTCTTATCTAGAACAATAAAGTCCTTTTCGGTGAGCACTCTGTGCGTCGTCCAGGTGCCAGTGGCAGCCGGTGCAGGGATCACTTTGTCGCCCACCTGGATGCTCTTCACATTTGGGCCGATTCGAAGCACCTCGGCCACTCCTTCATTGCCACCGATGGCAGGAAAAGAGGCCGGTTTAAGTGGGTACACCCCCTGAATGGTGTTGATATCTGCGGGGTTAATCGGCGAGGCGATGTACTTCACCAGAACTTGACTGTTCTTCAGTGTGCGTTCAGGCTGTATGGGCACCTTCTGCAGAACTTCGCCTGGTTCGCCAAATCGCTCGTACGCCAGTGCAAAGCTGGACATTTGCGCACTGGGTTCAGACCATTTGACATGATGCAGTCCTCGCAGAAGTCGGACACTTTGTCTTGAGAACATCGTTGGAATCATCATTTCACGCGGCAAGAATTTTGTTTATAAATCGGCGAAAGTCAATCGGCAAAATCATCATCACCGGGCAGGCGATGCACGCGATGGTTTAAATAGACGATGCCCTCTTACATGATGCAATAGTGAGATTACTTTGAATCCACCTTTTCTAGTCGAAGTAAGTCCACCTTCCTCTTTTCCTTTTAAGCCTGAACTAAAGAGCCATCTTTACAGTCAAGTCACAACTGTCCACGAGATGCCACAAGACGAGAAGAAGCAGCCGGCAGAGGAGAAACCCGCAGCTGAACAAAAGCTGAAGCCATGTTGTGCCTGTCCAGATACAAGAAAGCTTCGCGATGCATGGTAAACAGAAAACTTGTGTTTTGTTTTACAATACTAACCCAATTTTTTTACCACCCAGCATCATCGAACGAGGAGAGGATAAGTGCACCGAACTTATCGAAGCGCACAAAGAATGCTTAAGGAAACTCGGTTTCAAAATTTAATTAGATGTATACAGCTGTAATAAACACATACAATTTTCAGTATAATCCTCCTATATCTTTCCGTACTGAATTCGTACAATTCTTAATAATTGGAAATTTAAAGTAGTGTAGCGACTTGGCTGAGCCACTACAGTGGTGTTAAACTTTTGAAATAATCGGTTTGGCAAAAAAAGATTAGTTGTTTGAAGGGCGAGCCCACTCGACGCTGAGAATCAAATTGTTGTAACCATGACCGTTGACCACCTTGATGGCTTTCTGCGCGTTCTCGCGCATCTCAAAGCTGACGAATGCGAAACCCTTCGAGTTGCCGGTGGCCTTGTCCTTTGCCAAGAAGATTCGGGTAATTCGACCGAAATCTTTGAACAGATCGCGAATGTCACTGTCTTGTGTCTCTTCAGGCAAGTTGGTGATGCGGATGGTGTTGTTTTCATCCTTGCCTCGACTGGGCATTTCCATTCCTCGCTTGCCGAGTGCGCCAAGCATGCCTGGCTTACGCAGTCTCGGGTCATCCTGAAAGGGAAACAAAACGTTAGACTGAAATGCAAAAAGCTTAATAACAAAAGTACCTTTGACAGATCAGAGTTGTCGCCAAGCTTGTTGAGAGCGTTGAGCTGGTTCTTGTAGGGACACTGCAAGGTCCAGTGGTTGAGACCGCAGTTACGACACTGAACGTTCTGGTTGCCGCCAAAGCTGTTGACCTGTTCCTGCTCCTGTTGCTCTTCCTCCTTAGCCAGGAGAAACTCCATACGAACATCATCGGAGGGAATAGTGGTCGCCGAGTTCGGTCCTGGTCCGTCATTGGCCGACTGACCAAACTTTTTCCAAGTCTTCCTCACGGCGGCCTCCTTGGTCACCTTGCGCTTCTCAATGCGAAAGTGTCGCACCAGCTTGACTTTTTCGCCGTCAACATAGGTGATTTCGGAGATTGTTTTGGTGTTGTCGCGGATCTCCACCTTTCTATCGGAGGTGTCCTCCGCCTCGTCTTCCATCTCGGCCACCCATGATGACTTCACCTTGTCTGCTTCAGCCGACGGCATTTTGGATTCTGGTTAGTGGATCACTGAACTTGAAGGGGTACACAAACAATAATGCACAATTCACGCTTTATCAGACAGACAAACAAACTGAGAGCTTCAATGCAATCAACTGAGTCTCCTCGGTCAGCGTGGCAGCCGGCGATGTGAAAGTGAGCAGCGTCAGTGGCGCCGCCACAGAGAAAGGGCGCCTTAAAAAGGCGCTTTGCTCGATTGTTAATTTCTTCTTGTTGTTAGAACTTTTTCATTCCTCAAAACAATGTCCAAACTTATTCTAGAGCAACAAGCATTTTTCATCCATGTAAAATTTGACCAGAACCGAACCCAAAGAATCTGAGAAAAAAGATCTTAACAGTTTCATTCTCTATGAATGTTTCGCGCAAAAACTTGCACTGTGCAAAATGAGATTTTGCTTTTTAAAAATTTGGGTGGAGCATTAGATCCTGGTAACCGAAAAGGGGCTGGTTTTTTGTACGTGGTTGGAAGTTACACTGGTCCATCCCATCAGCATCCATCGGAGTTAAATGCCTCTGCAAACACAAAAAATGAACAACAAAAACAACTTGCAGACAACATTTACAAATGCGGCGAAAGCAAAACAAAACAAATTCTTCATGGTTCTTCGGCTTTAGTTCCATTTGAAACTCACAAATACGTAGCTCAGTGTTATGGAAGACTTGGACTCTCGGATTCGATCAAATTACAACTGCCTTCTCGATGCAGGCGAGAAGGAAAGACTGATGTTCCTACTGAACACCAAACTGATCGAGTGCGGTTGGAGAGAAAAGCTGAACCGACTAATCTTGGAAGTGCTTCGCGACGAAGGAGCTGAGAATATCACCGTTGAAGAGCTAGTTCAACGGGTAACCCCCAAAGCGCGAGAGCTCATTCCGGCGGAAATTAAACTCGAAATGATCCAGCTAATTCAGCACCGAATATCGGAAAAGTTCAAGGATAAAGTTGTCATTGTCGACGAAGCTGAAGATAACGAGTTATGACAAACACTTCAACTACAGTAAAGTATTTTGTAAATAATAAATGCATTTTAATAATTAAATTAAATTAAACTCAGTCTCGTGGAGACGAACTCTATACAACAAATCGTATGTACACATTGGGTAAGAAGGAGGAGGTGATGATGACGATGAATCTGTACAGAAAATGAATAAGCTGGTAAATGAGGTGAAGGGGCAGTTTTCGAAATAGATGAGGAAAGGCTGGGAGTCGCTAGAGCTTATTGGTGTGCAGACCGAGTGTCTCGTGGACGACGTGCAGTCGGTCGACGTAGTCCTTCATTGTGGAGCTGATCTGCGAGGGCATGCTGGTGCGCTTGCTAAAGTGCACCGGAGAGCTGGAGGCAGAGCTGGAGGAGGTGGAACGAACCGAGTTGCTGCCACTCGATGAGTTCAGCAGCTTCTTCGGCGGAACGGGCAAGTTCTGCAGGTTGTTGGACATGGCGTGGGCAGTCTTGCTCACCATCAGCTGCCGCTTCCGACACTGCCACACATTGACCATGTACTTCATTCGGCTGAGGGCAATGAGGGCGTACACTGCCGAGCGGAACCGCTGCTTGCCCCGCATCTTACTGTCTATCTCCTCAACGTCTAGTGGTAATGATGAAAGTAAACAGAGTAAGTACAAACAGGTTATCATTGACAAAGGGTCCTTATCCTCATACCTTTAGAGTGGTTGAGATTGGAGAGCAGCGCCAGCGTAGCATTCTCCGTAATTTGGAAGCCATTCAGCAGGTGAATTAGGTAGTTTTTCTGGTAAATGAGCGCGCCCTTTTGACTAAGTAATCGGCGCACCTTGAGCATCAGCAAATTGTTCGAACTAATACTGTTGGGAATCTTGTCGAGACCGTTCAGGTAGAGGTTGCTGTTGATGTTCGGATTCATCGACACCGACAGCGAGTCGACATTGTCCTCTGACTCGGACATGGCGGCGCTCACCACCTCTGCACGCAGCTTGTGCAGCTTTTGATTCTCCACCTTCAGGTAGTCATTCTCCCGCTCGAGGATGCCAATCTTCTCCTGAAGGCTCTTGATCTCCATCTGGAGGTAGGTCACCCGGTCGGAGGATATTTTGTTCTGCAGGCGCAGCTTCTCCAGGTTCTTCTCGTAGAGTACCACCCTGCTCTGGCTCTCGTCAGCCGACTGCAGCTTCTCGAGGTACAGGTCCTTCTCCTGGGAGAGCGAGCCCATCTTCGCCTTCAGCCGGTCAATGTTCTGCTCGAGGACGGCCATCGACTTCTCCTTGTTGGCCAGCCTCGTCTGCAGCTGGTTCACCTCAACCAGAGCGGCGTCGTACTTGGCCCTCAGCTCGCCGCCCTGCTTGTCAGTGGCTTTGGACAAGTGTTTGCTGTCGAGTTCGTGCGACTTGAGCAGGTCCTTGTACGACTTAATCTCCTTCCGGTAGGCGTCCAGCTTCTCCTCCAGCTCACCGACGTGCCGGTTCGCCTGCTCCAGCTTCACCGTCACCGACTCGGTGTCCCGCTTCTCCGCCTGCAGCTTGCCCTGCAGCTCGGTGACCACCTTCCTGAACTCGTGCACATCTACGGATGACTCCAGCTTAACCTTCAGCTCGCTGTACTTCATGTGATTGTCGTTAATCTCCTGGTGGAGCATCTCATTCTCCTTCTGCTTCTCGTGGAGGATGCCCTCCACTGCCTCCATCTTCGCCTTGATCTCCTCCAGCTTCCCGGCCACCTGTTCCGTCTGGCGGAGCTCCTCCTTCAGCTGACTGTTCCTCTCCAGCAGCCCGTCCACCTGAGTGTTCAGCAGGCGAATCTTGTCGTCCATCTGCTTAATGGTGAGGAAGACCGAGTTGTCGGAGGAGGCGGCCGCCGAGCTGAGATCTGACTGACTATCCACCACATCGACGACCACCACCGACGACCGCCGTTGTCCGGCAGCAGCAGCAGCAGCACCTTCAGGGCTACCACCACCACCACTGCTCTGCTCTTTGGCCATCTTGCCAATCTCCCCGAGCAGGTCCTGCCAGTCAGNGGCCATCTTGCCAATCTCCCCGAGCAGGTCCTGCCAGTCAGCCTGGTCATTGAGCTTAATGTTGAGCACCCTTGAGAGCTCCTTCAGCCGCTGGCGCAGCTCCACTTCCACTTGACTACTCCGCTCCAGGTCAGTCTCCAGCTGGCGAAGGGCCAGCGAGCGCTCTGTCGCCTTCAGATTGGCCTCCTTCAGGTTGGCGGCCATCTCCTCAAACTGCTCATCTCGCATCACCTTGTCCTCATTGAGGAAGGTCAGCTGATTCTCCAGAGAGCGAATGTTTGCCTTGCATTTCGTCTCCGTCTTCTCCTTCTCCTTGATCTTCTCCTTCAGCGAGGTGACCTCCTTGGTGAACTCTTCCCGTTCACATTCACGCTCCTGCGTCTGCTCCTCCATGAAGCGCTTCAGTGAGCTGTGATTCTTCTCAAAGGCCTCAATCTGTGAGAACAGCTCCTCAATCTCGGCGTTCTTCACCTCCACAATTTGCTCCTTTTCCGTTTTGAGCGTCTCAACCTCTGCCGTCAATGAGTCAATTTTCCTTGTCAAGTTCATCTTCTCCTGCTGCAGCTGGTTAATGTCTCGGTTTAGTGCCTCCTTTTCGCGCATCAGTTCTGTCAAGGAAAAAAACCAAAAGACTCAATTAGTACAGCACGCAATTAGTGGTGAACGATGATGCAACTCAATGCCCGAGTGACACTTGTTGATGTGCTGCAATCAACTAACCTGTGCCTTCATTTAGTGAAAACAGAAACATTTTAGTGAAAGTGCAGGAAATTGTTAGAAGATTGAATGTGAGTGAGTGAGTGAAAGAACCGCAACCGAAAAGAAAAGAAAAAATGCAAAAACAAATGAAATATAACCCAAAGTGCAAAAGGGTGCAAAGGGGAAAAAAGAAAAAAGGGAAGAAAGAGAAATACGACACTTACTTTGCTGAAGTTGAGGCAGTCCCTGATTGAAGGAGTTCTTCTCCGCCTCAAAGCGTTTGTGGTCGTTGATGAACTTCTTCCGGTCCCGCTCGTACTCCTCCAGCTTCAGCTTCAGCTGATCCCGTTCCGCCTTCACCTCGCCGTAGTCGGTCGTCCTCTCCACCAGCGCCCTCTTTTCGCCCTCCATCCGGTGAAGGGCACTTTCCTTGTCGAGCAGCTGCCGCGTCAGTTGGTCCCGCCGCTGCACCTCTTCCTGCAGTTCATTCGCCAGGTCTTCCTTCTCCTTCAGCAGTCCCTTGATGTCCGTCTGACTGTGGTGACTGACCACCTCGTTCAGTATCTTAAGGACGCGCTCTACGCCGAGTCGCAGCCGCCGACTGGCGCCCAGCACCACGTCGTCCTCGATGTCGTTCGTGGTGTTGTTGCCGTTGTTCAGACTGTGATTCGTAGAGTAGATCATCGACGAGGGCGTGGTCAGATCAGGGCCATCATCGCAGAGACCATCGAACGTCAGATCGGAGATGCGCTCATCATCGAGCGATGTGAAGCCAATGAGGCCGCTATCTTCGGCTCTCGTTGAGCCATTCTCTAGGCCCAGCGCCTCCAGTTGCTTTTGAATGTCATTCTCCGTGTCGAGAAAGGTTTTCACCAGATCGGACAGTACGTGCAACATGCGATTGTTGGTGGCTGTGCCGTAGCTAGAAGAAGGGGAAAAAGAAGAATAGGCAGTTAGTATAAAATGGCTCATGATCAGTGCAAGTCAGTCAGTCAGCGGCTGTCAGTGCTTTCACCGGCAGGCAGGCAGTATTATGTGAGCATTGACAATCACAGTTAATTAATCAGCGAATCATTACGAGAGAATGAAAGTGAGTTTTAGTTGTTCTCTACTGTTATTCTACGATCCGGGCACATACACAACCAGCCAGTTAGTCAGTCGGTCTGTTGTTAGTTAGTGCACTACTACTCTAATTTGATTAGTGGCGGTGAAGTGCAGTTAGTTTGACTGTATAGGCAGTCATGTTACGAAAACGGCAGATGATGGTAGTTGATAAGAAGACACAGTGCGAGCATATGGTATGCACGCGCACGGCCGACTGACTTGACGGAAAGCTCACAGGCAATGGGGAGTTGGGTGTCAGCAAAGCGAAGAACAGAAGAGCAGAAGAAGAAGCTAAATCAGTTCATCAGCACTTGGCAGCGGCAGTTATTGGCGCCAGCTTAGTGGCAAAGCAAGAGGGCATTCATTCATTCAGTTTTCATCCATTCAACAGTGTTTGTCAGTGAGTGAGTGAGTGAGAGAGGGCACTGTGAATGGAATGTATCGAGGGGAAAATTTGTGTGCTGCACTTACGCGTTGGCTGGATCGAAAACGGTGTCACCTGCGAGTGTCTGCTCGCCGACCGACTCCTCAACTGGCCAATCAAAAAGGCTACGATCACACACAGTGGTCGATTGGCGAAATCAAAGTATGGTAAACGTATTATACAGGTGTATAAAAGGACAGTGGTGCGCGCGTTCGAGCGACGAAGAGTGCAGAGAGCGGCCGAGTGTAGAAGTGAAGAAATGTGTGTGCGAGAGGAAGAAAGATTGCAAATACGAAAGGAGAGGGGAAAATAATGATCTACGAAATTGGCCTACAAAGTGCTCATTTCGAACACCATCATTTGCATTGCATTAAAAAACTTACCCTTGCACTCGGCTACTGTAGTCCTTGATGCTCTCCTCGGCATCGACAAAGGTGGCCGTCTGAGAGGAGGAGGAAGTTGAGTTGAGCACCGAAGTTGAGCTGTTGCTAGACCTCCTCAGCTGGCTCTTCAGCTCTTTGATGGTACTGGTTTTTTCCTCTATAACTCGATTCAGTCGTTCGTTCTCCTGCAGGTACGAGAGGCGCTCCGTTTGGATCTTCTCCTCGTGCACTTTGATCTGGTCGAGCAGCATCTTCTTCAGGTTTGGATCACAGTCGTCGGCTTGAGCATTGCCGTTGGTCAGGAGGACAGCACTCGTCGTGGCAGACTTGGCTGCTGAGTGCTGGTCGAGCTGTTGGTGGTGGTGATGGTTCGAGTCGAGGAACAGCGTACTGTGCTGGTTAGGCATTCCCTGGTAGCGGCACTGCTCAAAGGACGCCTCCAAGTTAAGCTGCTGCGACGACGACGACGGTGTCGCCTGCGGGGGCAGGTCTGTTTGACACTCTGAACTCTTCAGCACCGCTTTGTTTTGATGAACGCTCTCCTTGTACTTGTTCATCTGCCTGGATATGTCTTTCACTTGGTGTTTTATATTCTCCAAAGCCTCCTCGGCCAAGTTTTCCGCCTGCCTCGCCTCCTCGCTGATCTGCCGCTCATGGCAGATGTACTTGAAGAGCGTTCTAATAATCTCGTCGCGTCTTTTCAGCTCGGCAGGATCACTAGTCGGCTGGCAGCTGAGCACACTTTTTACGAGGTTTTCTACTTCGAGAAAATCCATCTCTTTGCCGGTACTACCGTTGTGGCTGTTGCTGTTGTGACTGCTACCATTTGACGTGGAAGATGCTGAAGACGCCGAGTTTATCGCTTCCATTTCTGCAAGATCAGTCTTTATTTTCTTCCTCTGAGGTCTCATCAAGCTGTCTTCGGACTAATTGAGTACAGAGAGGAAAAGTAAACAAAGAAAAGTTGTAGTTGGAAAGGTCGGAAAGAGGATCCGTCAAAAGAGAATCATCACCTTTTGGAGCATTGATTCGAGCATTTGGAACTCGTCCAGAGAATTTGCTGATGTTGTTATTGAGCTGTTCATGATGGACAACCATGTGGTGGCAGAGGATGGTGAACAGAACCGAAGCACAGAAGTGAGCGGTTGGAGCCAGCAGTTCAGAAGCCTCTAACTAGAGAAGGCATCGATATCGGCGGCGTTGATTAGCAACTGTCAGACTTGCTTGACACTGCGCCGATAAATTGTGGCGACTATCACGTAAGAGAATGAGAGTCGCTTAGGTGAACATGGGGCAACATAGAGACAAATTGCGAGCGCTCTTGGCACACACACGACGACGACGTAATAGCGCCAAAATAAACGTTCAAGTGATCGAAAAAGGAAAATATAGGCGATCCTATGTAAATGTAAGTGCAAGTGTGTGTGTACGAGGCGATTGAGTAGAAGGTCGGTCAAGAGTCTTCAATGGCCACCTATGGCATTGACTGAAGTGGCGATGATGATGGTGATGGCGGAGGATGAGATGAGTAGAAGTGTGTGATAATGATGATGATGAATCAATTGCGAGATGATCTATTTGCAGACACCAGCAGACGAGAAGAGGTAGAAGTGTACAAGAGAGAGGTGAACAATAACAAACAGACGGAGAGAGAAGACTCACATGGCCACGAGCAGCGGCGGAGTAGAGTGTAGAGAAGACAATAAGTGTAACCGTCGACGGAGAGCAGCGGCAGTGAACACACAACTGCCAAACTCGGCTGCCTGGCGAGTGGTGGTACTCTGTGTAGAACTCGATTCACTCCAGTCAGCTGGCTGGCTGGACGGATGTCTCTCGATGGTGATGGCCACCAAGGAGTGTACGAATGCAGTTGTTTCGGTGATTCAAACGATGCTGATGCAGTGATCCAGTTCAGTTCAGGTCGATGGCAGGCCGCCGAATGTGACAAGAGGTGTAGCGGCTGTTGCTCTTGTGGCACATAAGCACTGGCCACGGCCGCAGGGATCAGTCCTTTTGGAGTGACTACTACTTGGACGACGGAGACGGCGGCGACGACGACGGCGACCACCACTACAACAGAGGATTCCTTATTTGGCCGATCTGAAAACTGTCTCACTCGCTGGCGATGGTGGTGGTGATGCACTGGCAGACTGCTGCTGCTTTCGCTTTCAATGCTAACCACTCTCGAGTCTGTTGGCCTGCACAACTCACACATTCACTCACTACTGGCACAGCTCACAGTGTTCACTGCAAGACACAGCAGCAGTTTTTCCAACGGATCGTCGCCAGCTCAGGCTCCATTGAACAGACGGCAGACAGTGGTGATGATGGTGGCACTCGCCGCTGTAGCCGCCGCAACAATGTGTGTGCACACTTTTCGCTTCTACTTCTTCTGTTGATGTTGCTGCTTCTGATGCTTGTTGCTGCCTAAGGTCGATTGCTGATGCTGGCCTAATTGGATGCTAATTGAGAACTCTTTCACTCGCACTTGCTTGCTTTCTTGACAAACTGCCAGTTAAGTGAACACAGTGCTCACTGGGCGCCGGGCGTGATCATGCTG